GACCCCACTGGGGGGGCGCTGGGGACCACTGGGGAGCGCTGGGGAGGTCCCACTGGGGGGAGGAGGGGTGCGTCGCGACAAATAAAATCGTCGGGGCGGAGGGGGCACTGGGCGCGGCTGGGGAGGCCCGACTGGGGGGCGCTGGGAACCACTGGGGGGCGCTGGGGAGGTCCCACTGGGGGGGAGGAGGGGTGCGTCGCGAAAAATAGAATCGTCGGGGCGGAGGGGGCACTGGGCGCGGCTGGGAAGGCCCCTCTGGGGGGCGCTGGGGACCACTGGGGGGCGCTGGGGAGGTCCCACTGGGGGGGGGTGCGTCGCGAAAAGGGGGAGGGGTGCGTCCCAAAAAATAAAACGGTCGGAGCTCTAGACACCCTGTGCAAGAGAATAATCCGCTGGTTCACCGAGTGGTCCGACGCAATCAGCGCCCATACCAACAGAGCTCTGCAAACACATGAACAGCGCAACATTCCCGCAGAAAACTTGCGCCGCAATGATTCTACTACCCGCGACGCAAGCGCCCTCCATGAAAGGTGCTGCGGCGCTGATGCCACCCCTCTCGCACAAGATGGCCAGTCGCCCGCTGCTATCCTTCTGCGGGCACCGCGGCCCATGATGCCCATGATCATCGCGATAAACGCCTTGATCCTGCAAGCCGGGCTCGCGTTCCAAGTCCGCGAGCATTTCCACAACTACACTGCCTCCGGGGTCATCTCCTGGCCCCTGGGCTCGGGCGCCCCCCACGGACCCGAGAAAGCGGCAACGCTCTCTGACGCGATCCAGTCTGGGTTTTTAATTACGTGTTCACACTTATTTACCTCCCCATCGTCATGGTCGCCACGGGAATCAACCGGCCCGGGGCCCCGAAAATTTCGCGATCGGCCTCGCAGCAACCCCCTGGAAAACGCGAGCGACCGCTGCCGGCGCCCGCCAATGGCACGCCATAAGTCCCCTGCGGACGTCGCGGTGAAGGCTAAAAATGCACTGACAAGACAAGCCACCCTCCTCGATAGAAAATAAAACACCCCCATTACCATGCTGGGGGGAGGGTCTTCTCCGAAGATGCGCCGGATCAAACCGCCCAGATATTTCCCGAGCGCAGAGACGGTGGCCAAGTGAAGCCACGTCTTCATCGCGCGGCTAGGGTTGGAGGCCATTCTGTTCTGGATGACCTCTGTTCCTCGCCCTGCCAAAGACGCGATCACACAAATGATTCACTGTCTCCCCCATCGCCCATTCGCGCCCCCCTCGCCCTTCTAGGTCCCGGGCAACGTCAACGGCCCCCGCCGACATGGCGGCCTGCACCAAGGTCGAATCCTCAAACCCGTAAAAATACCAGCCGCCCGCGTCACGCGCCCACGCGGCAGCCCGCGCAGCCAGATCCTTGCACCGAACTCAGCACTCCCGCTCCCGAAGCCCACGAGGAAACACCCCCATGCCCACCGGCGGCCCCCCTGCGCCACCAGGCCGTCGATGGCCCCCCGGCCGCTCGCGCATTCAAGACCTCCGTCGGTCAAACGCCGAATCGCTTGCAAACGTCGACTCAATTCAACTGATCGCGTCGTTGCGCCCCATCTCCTCTAGGCGCTGCGTGTAGCGTCGACGGTTCTGTCGCCTCTACTCCGTGCCCTCTCGCAGATAATTACCCCAAACGAACACGCGTTCTCTGCGCTGACTGCACACCAACCAGAATCACCCAGGGAGGGCACGAAGACTCGGTCCAACCATTGCTCTGCAACCTAAGAAACACACCGCCTAAGTCAATCGCACGCAGCTGCTGGATGCCCCGCACGACCGGACGGATACCCCATCAATCTCCGCGCGAGACAACCGCCCCCCCCCCTAGCAGGCCATCTCTACCAACGCGCGCGAGCCCGATGGCTCGGGCCGACGCCCCCCAATCATCGGCGCGGCCCCCTAGCGGCAAACTGGGGAGCGCATTTTGAAACGCCCCGACGAATGGGGCACTGCCCCGCGGCGCCCCGAGGAGCGGGCCGCTGCCGGGCATGCCCAGACCACTTCTACGAGGCTCCCCGATGGGCGGCTCAGCTTCTCGAATACTATCCGGTCTGCCGCAAACCAACTGGGCGCTCCCCACGCTCGACTTCGGGCGCCTCAGCGAGCGGGCCACTGCCCCCACGCGCCCCCTGCCTATACCAATCCCCATCCGCACCACAAATACCTGCCCGGAGACGCGCCCCCCCCCCCCGGCCGATCCGCCCAAGCGAGCGATCTCTAGACCGCTCTGCTCCGTCGTCGCAGGAGGGCCTGGCACGGCCACCTCCGCTCTAGCGCGAGCGTAGCTGGAGTTGCTCTGCTCGAGCAAGGCAGCCAGCCTTCTACGGAAGGGGCCTCCCTCTGGAAACTTTCTCAGTATATCCATATCAACAGCCACCGCGCTGGTGCTCTCGGCGCCTGGCCCTGCTTCAACTGACCGCTTGGGCGCCCCGACGGGCGGGCCACTGCCCGCGCTGCGAAACTGGAGATCCCCGATGAGCGGGCCACAGAGTCCAACCAGATCCAATCTGCTGCCAACTGGCTGCTCCTCCTCCTCCTCAGAGCGGGCCACCGCCAATATAGCCTTCTACCTGCACCACGTCGCTGGTTTACACTCCCCCACTGAAGACGGGCGGGTTCATGTAGCTCGGGCCGCGGCCATTCCACCTCCTCCAACTAGCCAAACTGGGAAGGTCACCGTGCACGCCGAACGTTGTCCATCCAAACCAACTCGCCCGCAAAAAAAATCTGCAACACGAGGCCGAGAACCACCAGCCTTCAATGTCGCACCCAATTCGCGCCAGCTTTCTTCGTGGAGGCTGCTCCCATCTGCCGGCATGAAAACTTTTGTGGTGTCGATAGTGAGCTTCGTCCGCTCGACCGACCCGACGTCCTGGACAGCACGTGCACTGCTCGGATGTCCTCCAGCTCCCTGAGCTTTCGCTTTGGACTTTGCACGTCGCTTCCTGAACCCTCGTACCCCTTTAACCGCATTATCAGCTGCATCTTGAGCAAGTTGGATTGCTTGGTTTGGTCCACCTCCCGCAGCGGCTGCATCTGGTGCACCTGTTGCTCGGCCTTTGAACCATTCGAACTCGCTGGACCTAGTCTTGACCTGCTCAAGCAACTTGCCATCAAGCTCCTGACCATCACCAAACTGAGAAAGAATTGTCCCCCGACTGCCCACCATCTCCTGCTGTACTTGGCTGGTTGACGCTGTTGCAGCTCATATAATTCAACCTGGAATGATTGTATGTTGTGTTTTGCCGTGCCTCCTTAG